TTCTTTGCATGATCTGGCTGAGGAAATCGTTTGTTCTGATCATTAAGCAAGCGTATTTTGTTGAGTACAACAGCTCGATTCAGTTTGTCAGCTGTTAACCATGTACCAGGGATGCGTTGGCTCCAGCTGCTGCTGCTGCTGCTGATGATGTTGATACATCCAGCTACTACACCTGAGCCCTAACGACCCAGCTGGTTCTTCCTACATCTTAAACATGGCACGTCTTAAAGAACATTTTGAAGGCATCTTCTTCAGTTTCCTTCTGACTGTATTTCTGTCAAGGTCAAATTTGTTCAATCATTTCCTGGTCGTCATAATCAGCTTTCTGAGTTCTCTAGTCTTATTGGCATATTAGGTGTTTCCCGCTGAACGTAGCTTTTTTTAAACCCCATTCTAAACAGTCCATACGGTCAGGATTGGAGGCACTCTCGTTTTTTCACGCTCCTTTCTGGAGGGTATTTCCGTTTGGTGGTGCAACTTGCATGGTAAATCAATTTTCTTATGTTCGAGCGCATACGGCTCATTTTACCTGCGAGGACAGCAAGTGATCCATGGAAATTTGAAAACCCATCTGTATCATCTACCCACTGTACTGTGTGTGCCGCATTATTCTCGCAACCGCCAAATTCGTCGGTAGGTTTGTTAGCTCTGACGCAAATGCGCCTAATGAAGTCAGTACAAGAATCTCAAAGGCTCGAATCACGTTCGCTAACTGGCGTCAAAAAGGCATCTCACTGGATCTTAAAGGTTGCGTGTACCAGGCTACAGTAAGGCCTGTGTTGTCGTATGGGTGCGAGACATGGCCTCTGCCGGCAGATGGCGTAGACGTCTTTAGATTTTCGAACATCGATACCTCAGAAGCTGGTTTTGGATGGCGTTAGCGTGTTGGTAACGATTTGATTAGAAAATGGGTATTTGGTTGTGCGGCAGGTACTTCAATTGGGGAAAACATTCAGCACCACCGACGACGATGGGTTGGTCGTGTGCTACGCATGCCGAAACATCGTCTACTGAGACGAGTTTTGTCCTCTGTGCCTTTTTCAGAATGGCGTAAACCGCGAGGTGGGTACCGCATGACCTGGCAGGAGAGCGTGAAAGAGATCACGAAGAGTTTGGGTGTTGTTGGTGTTGTGCGACTTCCAGGATGTGGTCCACGTGATCCCGTCTGTGCTTGGCTGGAGATGTTGTAGGAAATTGTGAGTAATCGATGTCAGTGGCGTTCTTGCTGTCAGTTTCTCTCCAGGTTGTCTGATTGAATTGTTGGAGATGTACGCACCTCAGAATGTTTGACATAGACCAGCGCTAGGTCCCCTCGCTCCCCCACTCTTTTTGCCTTCTTTTCACTCTAGGGCTTTTAATATAATTATACGAACCTTATGGCTGTATAACAGTGGAGCATCAGTGTCAACACTGATGTTGCTGCCTTTGATGATGGTGATGATCGAATACTTCGGCAAACCGAATGTTTTTCTTTCTTCAGGAGACTGCACGATCGGGGCATTTGGAAATCGCAGTAATTTCCTGTTCTTCAAACGACCATCTGTTAGTAACTGTTCGGGATGAGTTAGGTCTTAAAAAATTCGGTAATCCCACAAGTTAAACTTCCCTTAGTGTCGTTCCTCAACAGTAACTGACTAGATTTCAGAGGAGTGTGTCTACTTAGACAGGGCTTGGTTTGGTGTAATATTTTGTGCTTAAGTTTTCCACTTTCGTCTAGGTGAGTCACGACTATCCTAGCGACAAAACTACATTTCCGTCACTCAATGACCCCAGTAACGACTGGTTTTCTGGTGCCAAATGACTATTCATGCACACATGTGTTCAGAATCTTGTTATTCTCAGCTGTTTGGTCCAATTTATTTTTCACGTGGGCCATTTCAAACTCTTCAGACAATTCGAATGCGATTTTATTCTGCAATTAAAATCAATCTTCATTGAAAACCTGCTAACCGTGATGCGGCTATTCTGCCGTTTTTTGGGAAGCATCAGCTGCGTAGATCTCACGAAGCCCTAGGGCGTTTCGCCACATAAATCTTCTGGTTACTAGTTGGACAGTACCATTCGGCCACGAGTGGTTGAGTAGCAGTGTGAGTGATTTACACCTGGATGTGATGTGATACCAATCATTCTTCAGCCACGCAGTCCATGTCACAGGATCTGGTGTTAACTGAGTCTCCCACTAATTACTTCCACTATGGGAAAGCCCATACAATCTGCGTGGGTTTTCTCTTTCTCGATGGACTATAGCGAGCAGATAGTGGGGAGTTTTTGGAGTTTTGAGTAAGATTTCACCTGATAATCAGTGGCTTCAAGAGACATCGTTTCTTGTAAAGGGGTATTTCGCCACTCTTCGGAGAACTGTACACGGTGTCGTAGCTAACGGGGAGCACTTTATTGGCCATCTGAGGAAAACCGTCAAGGCTAATCACTGCTGTATTCTCCAATAAACCCACAGTTCAATGTAAGCAGATTGTCTTCTGAGCAATCGAATATCCAAATGGCAATCCTTGTGGTCTTGTTATAATCGGACGAGCCTTTGCTTTCAAAGCCACCCTTGACTGTCCAGCTAAATCTAATATTGATATCTATTCTGAAGTGTTAAAATCGGCTTCCCCTTAACTCCCAAAGGTCCTACCGTGAAGGAACGAAACCACTTTGCTCACAAATATTTGAATCGCTGAAGTGAATGTTCGATCTTCTAGCCTGCGACTTCGAAACTTGACGGCTTTTCATTGCACATCGTTTATTTTTAAGGCGCATTCCTATCAGTGCACGTTCCTTAGATGCCCTACCTTTGTTGCAATGGCGAATGCTTCGCTGTTGTGGTTGCTTAGTCTGGCAACCTGTTTACCATGTCCGGGACAGTCTTCCCGATAATTGGGTGTAGACATCTGTCATGATCCACATTTTCACTCCTCCCGAATAGCTGCAAGGCATTCTGTAATTTCCTGCCTTCTTCCATACTGGTTTCGATGAATCCTGTCCTGTGTGTACAGTGTCAGACTTTTTCTTTTCAATTTGCGAAACGATCACATCCTCCCTAAATGTGGCCGTTTCCCCTTCCTACTTAATGCAGTTGTTCTCAAGGAGGGACGACACAGGTGAATGCAGCTGTACATGACAAAGAGCTTTTGCATCATCGGTCTATCATCTTTCCCATCCATCACGAACTTTTGACTATTTCTGTTCAGGATTGCTGTTTGAGATATAATGCTGACCAACTACAGTTATGGGATCAGTATTTTCTCTCCAGCAGTACCCAGCTATGGTACATTCCCATTATATTTTGGAGCTAAGTCCTCGAATCTGTCGTGGTCGGGATCGGCCACAGTTCCCCGTGTTCGTACGGTGCAAATCGCTACGGATCAGGATTAAATTCTGCATTCATGCTGCGCACTTTTTGTCGCAAAGTGTCACGGAGTAGCTGTATAGTTCCAGAGATATCACCATTGGAATACAGTTTGCGGTAGCCAGAAAGTCGTCCCAATATTATCGGCAGAGGTGAAGTATTGTTAGCTGACACCTTTGGTTCACCTCAGGATAGTTGAAGTCATTATGGCGCGAACCTACTGACCGAAAAGTCCGTGGTCCAATTCCAATCTCGGTATCTCGACCGACCCCGTTTAGGCTTGGGTAGTATCCCAGCATTCGTGCCTACTGCGGGTGACAAGGCGGCTGTGCATCGAAATGGTGTTAAAGCTGAACGATCATGTATTTATTACTTGATTACCCGAATAAAATTTCGGAGTTGCGTCTTCATGAATGTACAGTACTATCTCTTCTTAAAGTTCGCAACAGATTTGACATTTCTCATTTGGGGAACTAAAAATGCTTCAGCGTGGCCACCGGTCTGATATTGATAAGCCGGTATTCATCTACCAAATCCACTCATCACAACCGTCATTTTTCTTCGTAGGCATTAATCCCGTACGACAGGCGACCGCGGAAAGTCCAGTAGTGTGCTTTTAACAGGGGTGACATCGCCGAAGGGACTACACACTAAATCACACGTAACGTGGCTGCTGCTGTGTTCTCTAGGGAAATAACCTTTTTTCAGAAAGACTAGTGGATGTGTACCAACGACCTTTCCTGTTACTTCTACGACGATAGACCTGTCCATAAGGATGACCACGGGCGATGACACATGTACAACATGTTGGTCTGTACACAATCTTCCACCACCCTTTTACCAACAGATTTATCTTCCATGCTCATATTGTGTCTTCGTAGTTTGTGGGCTGTTTCTGGAACACAGAATTTCGCTTCTTCTTCTCCCTGTTCTGCTAAATTGCGCATATACTGTACCCGTAATCTGACAAAAGGATAGAATCTCATCATCCGTGAGTGACATTGTTGTGATTGTCTTTTGTTTGCATATCACTCTTGCTATACCTACCTACCCCTAACACCGGTTCAGTCACCGCAAGCTGCGTTCACATCCACGTGTGCAGCTCGGTTCCAGTTGTTTGCATTCACTCACGAGACTGCTTTTCAGCAATTGCGTGATCTTTTGTCACTTGATAAAGAGGTAACTTGGTATTTAAGAGTGTAGGATGTTTGTTGATGTGAACACGGAAGCATTGTGGCAAGGCACCGTATTGCCTCGGACTTGTGTGATATCTTCAATGAATGTGATCATACATAAGTTCTCTTTACGCCTACCTAATCAAATGTTACTCAGTGTTTCCATATATTCCGCAGTCTTGTGACTTAATCAATATTGGCTCTTATTCTGGTCCATTATAACTGTCCTTATTGTCTGATGGCTGCGTGGCATTATTGTTAAGCAACAATAAACTCTTTCAGAATGACGGTGAATTTACTGGTTGGGTATTCTGACGTACTTATGCGGTCCTTTTCCTCAGAACTTATTGGGTTTACCGCTTAATATAACCGAGTTTTTATCAACCCAAGTCTTCTTGTCATTTATAGGTCATTTGGCTTTTTTAATTATGTTGGAATCCCCTTCTTTGATGTGGAATAATCTTGTCTTTCTACAGCGGACTCCTTCATCCGAACATCGTCGTAAAGAAATGCGGCGTAAAAAGCGGACTGGAGTGTCGTCTGAGGGCGATACCGATAAACGAAGCGTTTCTCCTATCGTGTCAGCTGTACCACAGACCAGTCCTACTGTGGATGACAACGCTGCTGTCGTCAGGAAAACAGGCGATGTGACAGCATCACAGGGGCGGATGACCGGACAGAAGTCCCGAAAAGCACGAGGTACGTATTGTTGCTGAATTAACCTTGATGATAACGGCTTACGCCACCTCAGCGCTGATTGGGTTTATTTTCACACATGAGGCCTTGCTATCATGGTTCAGCTATGCTTCACAACCAGCTTTGAATCATTTACCATTAGTACACTGATACCGGCTGAGATAGTTTCTCTCTCCCAGAGCGTGGAATTTTTCGAACATATTAGCGGGCGCACAAAGGCCATTGCATACTGGGTCTTGTTTTCCAATATCCCTAACCATCTTTACTCCTTGTCCTGGTGTTCTTGTCCGAATATATGGTAGTTGTCCGTTCAACTGGATTAGCTGGTGCTGACGGACAGTGTAGAGGTTGCCAAAGGCAACGCTGGTCATAGTTATACAAGGATAGTTATCCTCACAGGTCTGACTCACTGGTAACGTCTTCTCACAGTGTGTGGGACACATTATTCACCTACGGGTGTGGACACTTAACTCATGCGCTCAACTAACTAAGCCCGAGAGGTCTATCACTGACCGAAATCTGACACCTCAGGCATTCATGGTCATTTTTCTTGGAGTGTACAAATGATTGGTACCGTGCTGGTGTTTCTCAGCAAACCTGTGCAAAGCCTAAGTAGTCTATTGGTTTCCGCTATCCTTGGCCTTGACCCTTAACAGCCAAAAGGCGTTCGGTCAGTGGGTGACGCTTACGTCATTTAGATGGAGCGAGACTGAAGTATGAACGGAAGATAAGCACTTATTTACAAATCGAAGTGATGTTAACGAGAGACTCAGCCACCTCTTTCAGGTTTTCAGGGATTCTCACGAACCTCATGCATAAACTCGTATCATTTAAGGTATGGAGTATTTATTCATTTAGTAAATAGTCTCTCAGACAAGGTTGTCTCCCTCAATGTATGATTTGAACCTTACCTAACAGACAATCACTGTTGGATCAAACGATCTAGGTGGGAACTCGGTCTCCATATAATCAGGATAATGCGGTTAGATAAATGCACAACGGAAAAACAGATCATACATGATTATGGACAGTTATCAAATGAACCGGTTAGGTCAATGAATGCTGAAAACTGCTGAGAAGGGATTTATATTCTCGGAAATCAACGCATTTCGTCCTGTGCAGTCGGTTACAAAAACATTTCAAGTGCCTTCGAATCCAAAGAAGTGAAGCTTCTACTAACGCGCCTTAAGAAAACAGAAGTAGCACCTGCTCACATAAGACTAGCAAGCGGAGTTATCGATTGTTTTGAGTGTTTCAAATTGGGCTCAAACTTGAGTACGTTGCGTGCATTCCGCTATTATATCACTACGTTCCGCTTGTACCGTAAAACAACTAGGTCAAACATATATTTCAACAGGTCCATGCATTTATACATGCACTTTTAAATAATGATAATAATATATGGCTTGTATAGCCCATTGTTGATTTTTCCGTAGGTTCGCTACTCTTTTGCACATGATTTCCATAGAAAGCCTTTGTACAATAACCAATGCGTATTGCACAGTCGAAGCCATCTTAAAAAAGTAGGCTTCCATTAGTGTGGCACTCCTCCCCCCAAGAGAGGCTACTCCCCAGGAATTTTCGCGGCCTACATTTCCCGCTGAGTCACTTTGAGGTTTTCTTTCCCGAGAAAGGTCAACCTAACCTTCCGATGGGTTACGTCATTTTGTCCTCCGACAAGCGATTTAGTCTCCAAGGAATGTCGATTATTTCCATAGTCTGCATGTTTCGGGGACGATTTTGAACGACGTGAGCATCAGACACGTGCCAAGGTACCGACGGCTTCTGATTTGCTCTACAGTAGCTGAACAAATTCAAGTTCAAATCCAGAATCCCATTGTTTCTACTCGGTGAATGTTTGGCTCACCTTTGCACTGTGAAGGATACAATTCAGCTTCAGTTTCTGTCTTGTAGTCTTGTAGTCTTGCTGTCTTGTAGTGATCCTTCCACAGACTACTGTGTGCTCTGGAAAAATGAAGACTAAACGGTCTTACGAGACCCACGGTGTGTTGTTGATAAGAACGAAACTAGCTGCTGGAATAAAGCTTACCGTTGGCGCATGAGGTGATCTGAAGTGAAAAAAACAGTCAACTGTTTATAGCACATGTGCTTTTGGTGTAGTTCGTCTCACAAATCAGAATTGATCTAGCTTAATATTTCTTGTGCACCAGAATTGCAACCTGTCATTGCGCCACACATAACATCTCCACAAAAGGTCACAATATGCGTCATCAAATAAGAGTAATTGCGGGGGTTGGTGGCTCATGTGACACTCACTCGGAGAAGCCACTGTAGCGAAACAAGTCGCTGAACGTACGTGTTACAGGAGTTGGGTGCGTAGGCATGAGAATCATGCAGCATCTGTTTGACAGCGACCTAACTGGGTCCCAGGCTCTTCTAGCTGAACAGGCCATTGCTGTCAATATGATGGTGCCGAAATCTATGGTAAACTGGCAGTGGAATTGTCACTTTCGTCCCGTTTTGTTTGTTGATTAACGCACAAGATGCGACGTTCCCAGCGGTTTGTATGTCTGTGCCTTGCGCTACACGAATCAACGCAAGTTGTACGGTTTCACCTGGACGAGTCTTATGAGCACAAGGTGCAGTTATTTTGGCAGTTAATCAACATATTTCCTATTGGACTGAGGGAACCCACTCATTGTAGGACATTTATTGAATTAAATCATTGTGTTGAAGTCACCGTACGTTGAAGAGTTCTAGGTTAGGCACCGGCAAGATTGCCTGTTGGGGAGGGGGACTACTGCAAACCGATTCGGATCTCATTCATGTCTGTCGCGGACCATTTCTGAACACAGGCAAACTTTTCCAAACAAACCTATTCCGCTTTAACGATTGCTTATCTGTAACATCGTTCTGATTTTGGTACCTGCTCTGACTTGTTGGCGCTAGGCAATTTCTGTGTCGTTCCTTAGTTTACTGTTTCAAAAAAAAACGGTAGCTTGGGACAGTCCTTTACAGATACAAACGAAGATTATTACAACTGTATTTTTAGGGTTATCACTAAATGCCTCACAAGGTCACGCACGTGCGGGCCATAAGTGCTCCATCCTGATCGCCTATTATCCTGAGTAATCAAAACATGGATTCGTTTGGTCACAGTCCGCACGTGACATCCGTCCAATCGACCTGATATTCGGTTATTAAAAGCGACTGGTCTCCAGTTTGTATCAAGACCCGAGGATATTGAAATAATTTTAGGATTTTACGCATAATTTCCTCTTCATGCTGTGAAACCTAAGAGCCGGCTAAATTTTCGTCTGTGATCACTTGGTTTACTATCAGAACATGTAGGATAGAAATGTCATTTCTGTGGAGCTTTTTATTTTGCAACTCAAGAGTTGGCTTTGGAGAGTAGTTTTCACTCCGGTATTCTGGTTTCGCACATTTCACACACAGGCTAACAGTTCGTCTCAGCCTTTGTCTCAGTTTTGTGTTTCAAGTGTAAGAGAGAGAGAGAGCACCTGTAACGTGTTGCTTGCGTATTCCTGGCTTACAACTGGTGTCATCAACAGGCTCATCCATTTGCGCACTTTTTCGGGGGGACTGTCATGAGAACATTCTGGCCAAAGATTCGTTGCCAAAGGCTTGGGCTCATTTCTACTATTCCGAAGCGACTGTGCTACGCCAACGTGTATTTAACTGTACATACTTGGGATCATTTGATGAGAGCTACTCTTGATGCTAGAGGTATTTTCTCCTCCCGTTGTTACCACATTCAGCGTGATACATCTGGTCAACCCCATGAATTTGCATTGTCCATTAGCATGTGTACCTCTGCGTCTGCGTTTATCGGAATATACGCGCACTCGTGTTGCTTGTGTTTTTCACGTTTTAGCCGATGCAGCGACTCACTTTTGTGGTTCAGCTGACCGAAGGCAAACATCTACCATCTGACTCTGACACGTGATTTAGATACCGTGAATGTTGCATGCATCTCTTGTTAATCGACCTTCGTGCCTGGTATCCTGCCTGACCGGATTTGTGTTTATTAGTATAACTAGCATGCTCCTCTCTGGACTTGCAGTTTGTAGAAACTGAACCGGTGTGTACTGACTGCCTCAATTTTATGAATCCACGAAACGGTTGGTCCAAAGATTTACTCAGTTAGGCATAGGTTTCTAAGCTTTCTGTGTGGTTGGCAAACATCGGGCTTTGTGGATTGCGGCTGGTCGACACTAGTGTCTAAATGTTGTACAACTGGGATGAGTTCCGCATGATCCGCCTGCACATGGTTGGAGACACCTCAAAATGTTACTTATCGATGTCAATGACCTTTTTGTTGTCAGTTTTATCCAGATTCTCTGAATTAGTATCTGGAGATGTAGGTACTTCGGAGTGGTTGTGGCAAACCAGCACTAGTTCTGAGTAAACTTTGTCTTTTACGACTGTTCCGACGAATACACGTCAGGTTTACTAGTTTACCTGTGGTATCTTTTGCATTTGGTGTTTTGACGCTCACAGCAATGACCTTTTGTTGTCAGTTTTATCCAGATTCTCTGAATTAGTATCTGGAGATGTAGGTACTTCGGAGTGGTTGTGGCAAACCAGCACTAGTTCTGAGTAAACTTTGTCTTTTACGACTGTTCCGACGAATACACGTCAGGTTTACTAGTTTACCTGTGGTATCTTTTGTATTTGGTGTTTTGACGCTCACAGCCAGACAAGCAAAGGTTGTGTTTGGATTGCACGTCTATCGGTACGACCTGTAGGGTGTTCTAACTTTTGGCAACGTAAGTTTGATGTGATCTGTGCTGTGAATCGAGATCGATCGAAAGGGTCCGTTAGCTCACTCATTGATTTGGATTCATTCACAAACCATGGTCCTTGAGTATATCCCACCCTCCCAGTGTGCGCACACCATCGAAAATTTCCAGCAACTATTTGAATGAACTCTATTTAATTCGGTTTAATTGTCTCCTAACTGTGTCCTCTGTCTTTTAAACAGTTCAGCAAGCTGTCTCTATTGTTACCATGGTAACTTTCTTTTGACAATTCCTTACTGAGTACTCTTGATTAGTTGGAACTCGTTTCTACACACACAATCTCTCACTGATTACATCTACACTAAACTTTCGAGCACTTCTCCCCCAACGTAACCCAATCGATAAAGTCATGATTATCTCAAGGTTATTCGCAAGTTTTCCTGAGCTCCGTCGACTTCGGTCGACTGATCAATGATGTCTCGAGAAATTCCAGTCCCTCTGACTGACCGCTTTTCATAGCTTCAACCGTGCGTTGATAGACTTAATGAATAGTGGATAAGACTGACTTTGGCGTTTCGACCGGTGGCATGAGATTTCCCCGACATATGGTTCCAACTTAGATTGTGCGGCATAACTTGTCCGCTGCGGTGCCACATCTGTCTTTTTCACCACCATCATCGGTGCAAGGAAAACTGGCTTCTTTGGGATGATTGTCTGTGGAGCCAACTCGTCACGTGCTCCAGGTATTCCACTAAAAAACCATTCGGACAATTTTTTAGCCGTATTGAACTTTTGAGCAGCTAAATCTCGCCACTCCGTATATCCGGTGTGGACATTAGTCTAACTTCATGGAACAAGATGCATACCAGTGAGCGTTTAAATAGCACTTGACAGAAACTTGCTTAGTTGAGCCACTCGCTAGTCCCACTAGTGAAGAGTGTGAACCATCCAAATCTCTTTGGATTATCCAGAAGGAAGCCCCTCGAGCGATATAGTCCAGATAAGTGAAGAGCCTTGTTACGCAAGATTGGAAAGTATGAAGAAGGCGGTGAGTCTTGCAGCTCGATGTTGAACGGTTAACACGCAGCCAGGTCACTAATTCTGGATGCTCAAGTATTTTACTTAGCTCTTAGTAACCATCCACCGGTATCTGATAACTGCAAAACCGTGCACTTCTGTTTCTCCGGCGATAATTACAGGAAAATGTGGTCAGTTTAAAAAAAACGCAGTCAACTATGCGTCTCGTCTTTATTGGGACTCGCCAACCGGGTGTAGCAGAATGGACTACCTCATGTTGAAGCACAAACAACGCACTCAAGCTTAACACCCGGGTTCACTGATGTTACTTAGGCATGTGGCGTTGCGTTCGGGTAGCCCCTGCGTAGAATTCCTGCTGCTTGTTAGTGGTTCCTTGCATATCGAAGAATAAGTCTATCGACATTGCGCTACTTTGTCTAACGCGAAAAATTCACTCTATTTTCCGTCTGTTAATTTCTCCGCATTTGACCCTTTATGACTTCCTGTTGTTTGTACATACTTGGCTCTTAGCTGTTTATCACATTAGCAGGCTGGTTTACCTGCTACCGTACAACTGAACAGTTGATAAAGTGCTTACTTTCAAACACTGATAGTATTGTTGTTGGTGCATTAGATTACGTAGACTGCTTCACACTCTTCGCCTCAAGCAGTGTATATCTCATCGGTCCAGGTCAAGCTTTTCTTTCAGCTCCGCCCTGCTGACCACTATCCAAGGTTACGGGCGTTCTATCCTAGGTTCGAGGTGCTATTCTACCAATCAAGACTCATACGAGTATGCGTATCTAACTACTTTAATCTTGTCATTCACAGTTGTACTTTGACGTTTGGGAACAGAGTTATTACACCAACTTTCATCGAAAACTGCTCAACGTAGTTGCTAGCGTGCTGTTCATCCTAAAAGATTTTACCAAGATAGTAGTTTTGATGAGGATCTGAATCGGTTCTAGATTAAATCACCTGTGTGACGGTGTATAGGACATCCGGTTTGTCGAAACAAATGTCTATGTATCACTCTGACCCCTTCTTTTGGACAAACAGGCCTACAGCCGTATAGCCTAGGTATCAGTTGCCTTCGATTTCCGAGTAACGGTCAAATGATTAAGCAGACTTTGGGCTGTTGTTTTCTTGTTCCGATCCACATACGGGTAACTGTTTGACTTTTTCTTTGTGCAATTCAGCTAAACCCGAGGCTATCAGCACCAAAATTAGCGCTGAAACAGTTGTACAGAGCGGTGCCTCGAATACCATAACGCCTGTTCAAAAGCCCACAAGTAATGGGGATCCAGTCACAGAACAGACTCAACAACCGTCCAATCCACCATCATCCCTTGTGGACGAAGTCCCTGATGACGATTGGTGCGCTGCGCCTCGGAAGAACAAGAAGCGGGTGCGTTCACAAATCTGCCCAGAGCAGCCTGAACAAAACAAAAATCAGTCACTTGTTTCTCCTACTGAAGAGCTTGCAGCGCAGGGACCCGTTGATTGTTCGCCACTCGAGGATAAACCGTCCATCGAATTTCCAAACACCCCTCTAAGCGAAGTGGATCCATGCCCAGAAGTTGAAACAAGCACTCCGCTTCCTCGGCCAGTAAGACTATCCTTTACTTTTTACAAAATATTTTGTTCCGGCTTACACATTTGGAGGGATTGACCTCAACACGGTGGGATTACAAACTACACTCAGATGTGCGCACAGCTGATTTCCGAAGCTGCTCCGTGCTGCTTGTGTCACACAGTTCGAAAGTCAACTGCATCTTTCATGAATGTGATCATCAGTGTGCTAATTAGGAGGTCATCTGATTACCTGACTAATTGGTTGAATCGTAAAATTAATGGGCTACACACATTCGACTCTCAAGGTTTGTTTTGTGCAACGATGCCTACTGCTGTTAACTGCCTTCTGCAACACAAATGCTGTAGGTGTGTTATACAGATCGATGCATTATGGCAGTGGTTTTTAACCTTCTCCGTTGTAGTGGAATCAAAATCGTTTAGTTTTACACGCATCGTGCGTTTTTGTCCGTATTTTATAAGGGAATACATCGGTTGGTGAAATCAGACTGTCGACAACGACGATTAGGTCTAACACAGTTACAGAATATATATAAATGTAAACGGGAACATATGGCAGCTAAAATTAGCAGTCGTCCGATCATGTGTTTTGTGCAACGCTCTCATGCTTAATCGATCAAGGGCAGTTGGACTGTGCTGGAGAATGTGTGGGAGAGGTTCATCGATCTAAGTACATTTGTGGTCACAGTCTGTGTGAAGAAGAGTGAAGTAATCAAAAATGAAACAACAGATCTAGGACCTGCTTGCGTGAAGCCCGTGTCATCACTTCCTTACTGAGTAGTCCAGGTTCACACATATTTTTGTAGTTTGGACCGTGTGAAAAACTGCACTCAACCCTGCACTGACGATGTCACCTCGCTTGGTAATGAAACGTTTGCAATCCAACTGCCAAGCTCGGCGAACAGACCAACAACCAAAAACTACACTGTTCGAACTGAGAATCACTGTCAGTTCGCGTCAACCCGACAAATGATGTAGTGTGTTTCGGTGAGATGAACATGTTTGTCAATCTCCAGATGGTTGTTCAGTGGAGATTTCGTCCGAAAAGCCGGGAAGCATTGTACAGCTGTTTCATCCCTATTAGTAATCATCGGCTTTGTAACTCACCAAACTGCAGTCAGTGTCGAACCAGCGATCTCCCGGTTGATAGCCTGAACAACAAGCAGCGAGCGCTGAGTAGCAGTGTGATTAACCTGTATTTGGACGGGATAGAACGCCACTTATTCTTCAGCCAACTGTTGTTTCCGTCTCTCTCAACCGAGCGTATGGAACAGATCTTCAGTCACTACCGTAGTTTCTCGAACACTCTCAAACGATGTGATTGTCACCTGAGATGATTCTTCAGTTGACAGCTTGCGCTCTGTTGACAATGAATATAACCTGTTGATTCCTGTAAGGATTGTGCAAACACAGTTTGATTCTAAGTAGTCTAAATCCGTCACGTTTCCCACTGTAATAACCGCATGCTTTCCGTACAGGGGTTCCAGCTGCCACGGTTTCGTTCACTAATGGTTTGGGGGGGGGGATGAAGTAGGTAGCTGCGCACTGGAGGCGGTAGCTGATATAATTGATGGGTAAATGCAGGGTAGTCAGTGGATTTTTAATTAGGGAGATTGGGAGGGCAGCTATACTTTGAAGGCAATATCTCGGATGCATGATTACCACTGAAGGTGCGACTGGGTCATGTCTGACAATGTCCCCAACCGCCGATGTATCCCGTCTTGAGGTCCCATCCAGGGAGACGCGATCACCAGCGCAGCTGAGTTTTCTGGTAATGGCCTTCACAATTCAATGCCAAGTCATTGTTTGATTTCCCTTGGATCGTTTCCACTATTCAAGTGGTTGTGCGAAAATAGCCCTTCGGGGAAGTCAGTTGAATGGGATTCGGGACACGTGGCTAAGCCAGCACAACTCACGGAGTGTGGTCAGTTCGGTATATGGATACATGGACACATCAACCAAATGAAACGGGCTTTTCCAATTTCGAGAAAGATGTAACTATCTTGTCCTATCATATTACACAGGGTTGATACAATGACCACGCGTTGCTGGAGTGATTTGAGGGGTGAACACATACAAAATTCCTTTGGAATAAAGAACCGTGATTTTGGTCATCCAGTGTGAGTGTTCCCAACTGACTATTTCAGGTCGTATAACAGTGTATCAACACTGGTGACTTCATCCTCGACTAATTTGGATGAAGGATGCTCCCCGTAACAAATTCCTTTTTAAGGTGACACTGTCTACATTCCACGTGGCAACAGTAAGTGGTGGTCTAGTGGCGTCTCCTTGTTGGGACTACTTGAAAAAGAACATGCTCGGTCATTTTATAGGTGGCTACATGTTTTCATCCTTAGTTCTGTGTAAAAGGCCTTGTAAAAGCGCCACATGTTCCAGATAAACTTTAGTTTATGGATAGTTTTGAAAGATGCACACTACTCATGGCTTTCAGTAAGGTGAAACAGCTGTACACTACTTTCTCGACGTTTCAGCATAGATTGGCTTCACACACAGACCGAAATCGCTCTTGAAAATACCGGAATCTCCTCACAATATCAATAAACTACATAATTAGTTCAGAAAGAGGAATAGCCCACAACGAGTTATCCTTCTAGCTGAGAAGTTCTCACTCGATGAGCCAACTGGCAGGTGACCAAGTGATGTGGATTCCGCGGCTGAAGGATGAAGGGGCCATATCCTGACTAAGCACAATTTAAACACGTTACTGACCAGCCACTCGTGGCGGGGTTGCCGCTTATTCGAAAGTCCCTGGAGTTTCGTTAGACCCACACTAATGGTGGCTCCCAGTAAGTACATTGCTTCTCAGTATAGATTGGCCTTATTTACAAGACGAAATCTCCACTGAAAAATCCTTACTTTTCGATTAGCTGAAGGACAGCAGCGCTTTGCCAAGAAGTTGAAATTGTCACAAAGATTGTCGTGTATGCAGCACATCTCCCTACACCAATGTCTGTTTGACTCCTAAATGAAAATGATTGCTAAATAGCGCTGGTGAAATTATGTGAATACTTTTTTCCTTCTACACAACTTAAGGGTGGTATCAGTGCCTAAAAATTCTTTCTTTCAGATCGGAAAAGTTGGCACTTGAGGTGGATGTGAATTCTAGCGAACGAAGCTCACATACCTACTGAGCATTTAGAAGCAGATCAAACTACTCATTGTCTGCTTTTTCTAGCACTTATTTGAGGGGCAATTTTTTTGCATACTGAGCAGGGAACATTTCTGCCCGAATCAATACAATCTGCACGGAGAGGCAAATGTGCTATCTACATTGGATTTTAGACAAGCCCATTCAGTCGAAGGCCAGTATTGGCGTAATGAACGCTGTATCATTTTAAATAGTCTGAACGGTGCACCAGCAATGTCTTCAACATCCTTGAATGAGTTGAGCTGGGAAAAAACTCAGGACCTCTCACTTCTTTATTCGTGAAATTTCGCCCCCCCCCCCCCCCCCGATACAGTTATTTCCCTTCTTGTTACGTTCCCACAAAAATTCAGGGTTCCGCATCTGTCATCAATCACCCACCCGAACGGGATGGTAATTTACCCTGTGTATTGCATCCTGGAAGGCAAGACCAGCAGCCTTGTACGATGCTGCGGTGCACTCTGTGTTACTACACATTACTATATGGATCAGTAATCTGGCCCCTGCGCACTGAGGACGATGTCTTCGGAGCATTGCCGGAATCTGATGGATCGGGCAAATGCTGATGCTCGTCGAATGGTATTCGGGAAAATAACTCACCCTCGATAGATGAACTGATCCCACTGCATAGGTTGCGCTGGCTTGGCCACGTTCTTCGTATGCCAGTCGACCGACTTCCTCGAAGGGTTCTTTTCGCCCAACCATGTGAAGGGTGGAAAAGGGCCAGAGGCGGTCAAACAATGGCTTGGCAGCGAAGTATAAAAGCCATTACCATCAAACTCAGCTGTGTTGGTCATTGCTGTCTTCCTGGATGGAGACCCCGAGACAGGCCACATCAATGGCTAGAGACATTGCCAGACATGGCCCAGTCGCGCCCTCAACAGCGCTCATGCATCCAAGCTATTGCCTTCAATGCATATCTACCTTCTCAATTCCCTCGCCCAACAGTCCACAGACTGTTGTATTTACGCACTAATTTATCAGCTCCTGCCTCTAATGTGCAGCTACCTACCCCACCTCCCCGAATCATCGGTGAACGAAACTGTGGCAGCTACAACCACTGTACGATAAGTACGTGGTGATCACAGCTGACAGTGATGATGATCACACCACACCCATTGGCCTCAAGGTTCAGTTAACCTCTGTGGTTCCCGTGGATGGATGTAGGAAGGTTAGGACAAGCGTTGAGGTAATCATCGACTGTTGTCCTTTTCGTACCACTTCAATGTTTTGAATGCTCATGGTGATTATTAGTCCATCTTTATTACCAATGCCCTGTAAATGGTCAACAATTTGGTTTCTGGTGTCTTGTACCTTGGTTGAAACCCAGTGTACTTCCGTACTCATATGTTGCGGTAACTGCTCTCATGACGTTCCATTTCGTAGATTATTTCAGGTAACGAATACCCATAAATTCTTTGTGCGTTACCTAAAGTCTTGCCTGGCCTTTTCATTGCAGCCTGAGTCCAGTTGTCCGGAGGAGGTAACAGTTCCCCGAAAGCCCTCCGGTGCTCGCCGAAAACGACGCACACCTTCTTCGCGAACCCGTTCCAAACTCTCTGATATCAACACACAGCAGCTAAATGAAACTTCCACTGAAATTGTTGATTTCCCCAAGGACGCTGCGGATCCAAAGCACACATGTGACTCAGAATTCGAAGTGATTGAGTTGCCCTCCTCCCACTCGCTATCTCCCGAACAACCCGGCTCACTCATCGAGTCAGATTTGGATCTCACCGACGTGGGTTTGGAGAAACCGACTCCACCACCAAAGACGGACGACATAAACCAATTCCCTTGTCTTCCTGGAGCAGAGAGCCAATTTGTTTGTCATCCCCCGCTAAAACCGGATGTTCGGGAGAGTGGAAGACATCCACGAGCTGAAAGCTTAATCAGTGCCGCGCTGAATGAACGTGAAGTTGTGGATGTGCCGGATATCGTTGGTCCACCGTCCGTACCAATCATCTCAGGAAAACCCAAACGCTCCAAAGCCCGCAAGGCTGACTAGTGGTCCATTTGCTTTCTATCTGTCTCCTCGTTGATCGGTCTCAAGCTACTCGAGATTCTTCTCCTAACGTATTTAGTCTTTCACACTGCCTCCCTATCTCTGACCCAGCAAACGCCCCAGTATTTTTATCATCCTTCCGTACTCGTGCTAATATGATCTGGTTGTTTTCTGTCCTCGTGCACTAATTATGGATGCGGTATTTTTCTTCTGATGTCACCTACAGAACCGCTTAGGTGGTTTGTGACGTGAGCATTTCACGGGCGATTAATCTGAGTATGAATTTCGCATCTCTCTTTCTTTTTGATCATACCCCTATCATAAAGTTACCATGTCTGTGTGTCCTATATTCTCCTTCCCCTCCTCCGTAACTTTATTTCCGTTGACCTTTTCTTATCTAATTGGTCCAAAATTGCAGCAGCTCCCTGTCCCTTCGATCTATGGTATCTACAAAGGTGTTCGTCTATCCAAATGGTTGTTTTGTTCCGTTTTGCTTTTGAAACTTTCCTACTCTCGGACTGACAATTCCCTACCCACCCCCACCTACTAACGCTAGTCATTTTGTTGGTTCCTTTTTTCTTTCAAGTTGTCTTGCCTGTGATAAATCAGTATTCAGTAAGCATTGATATGTGTTTCCTGGTTCATCTAGTATTGCTTGTTCGGTTCTTTGATCAGGGTGGGAATTAAGACACCATAGATACCCTCGAAACTCTTCTTGACAAAGGGCTAATCAGTAGACGACATTTGAAGTCTCAGATAACACACGTATGGAATAATTGTAGATCCACGAGTTGTGGAACGATTCTTGCCCGACTATTGATAGTCATCTCTATGCCGTTTGTCTGACAATGCCTGTGAAGGAATCTCAAAAGCGGGAGGCTTACTGTCGTTATCTTTATCGTGTTTGCTTATGCCCCAACCGACTTTAGCTCTGACACGTTGAGTGCTCTGTTACGGTGGGCTAAAAGCCCAGATACCTTTGTGGTTGCCGGAGTTTTGAATGAGTAAGTTGGCATATCTAACGTGAAATTGAATTGAGTGGTTGACTTGGATTAAGTTCGGTTAGCACAGACAAAGGTGAACGACTGTTTTGGTTGTGTGCTGAATACAGGCTGTTTCTATTCAATAAGAACTTCCAAAATCCGTCTGGCAACATGGTCGCCTCCAACTGCTTACCTGTCGTGGGTCCAAATTGATTACATCTTCCGTCAGTTGCCAAAACAACACCATGCGTGTAGACAACCCACGATTTTGGCATTCGATTCGATTGACCGGTTTCTTCTTAGCACACTTGCTTACCAAGGAATTCCCCGAAAATTAGTCAGTATGATATTGACTTTTGAGCGTGTGAGAGTGTACGGTAAGCTCTCCACACGTGTATACACTGACCTCGACAGAAGCTAGCTTCATGAGGGCGCCATGGCTATTGGAGGTTGGTAAAACTTGCCACGTTCTGCCCGATTCTCGTCTCTCTTATACAACTGCCCAGGTAAATGTATTTATCTACCACGTCTGCGTTTGATCCCACCCAGGCTTGCAGCAGCACTCTAGGCTTTGCAAGCGCGAAGAACATCAAACCTTGTGGTAGAATTATTCAGTTTGCTTAACATGGCTTACATCTTTGAAGACCACAAACCAGAAAGAGCAGTATCGTCTTCTCCCTCAATGTCCAACTTAATAAACAGTGACACTAGTAACACATGTTCGCAAATTAACTCCGAGCAATCCGACCATCAGTTCATCCATAAACCTTTTCGTTCGTTTACCTTTCTAGCTAGTTTACTGCCGTCCGTTCACGTGTTAACGTCTGATAATAGGTAGGTGGTAGGTTTTCCTATCACACAGAATCTGCTCCATTTCATACGCATGAAAAGACCTAGTTTATTTAATTCCTTTTGAGTTCTTTCATTGTTTCTCCGATACAGTTCTTTCGACTGTGTTTGGACCAACAGGACGAGATCAAGCAGAATTTACTTTAATGCGCCCTGAAAAACCAGTTGCATAAGAAATCATGGGGCTTCTTCTGTGAAAGGATGGGTGTATTCACTGTGTTGACTAAGAACTTGTTTCAAAGAACTTGTAGGTCAACTGCACCTGTGCGCTAATCGTAATTACTCTAAAAGCAGTGACGTTAATTTGTGACATTAATTTGCTTTACATTGAATACTTTTTGTGGCTTCATTGACACTTCTTTTGTTGGACAGCCTGTAGTCCCCCTGGATTTTCCCTATTTTGAGCACCTTTGCCAGTTTCGAAATGCCTGAAAAGCATACAGGCATTCATAAGTGCTTTTCTACAGTTCGTGTTGATTAAACTCGGATGGGCGTTGTCACTTGCAACTAAACCGATGGATTGATAAATTCTGTGCTTACTTCAGGGCGTCTTTAATGTGGCTAGTGATCAAAAGGGTCCTATCACCATCTGCAGTGTGTCCTTGTCAGTTTAGTGGGACAGGTTGGTGCTTTTCTTATCACTAACTCTTAAACCATCTGCTTCACTCCAAGCATTTGACTATCTGCGTTGAGCACGTAACTGGATGAGTTGCGCTATCCCTTCGTCAATCATCACACACATTGCTATCGTGGATGCAGAGGTCGGCAATTGAAACCCAAATAGCCGGCCAACTGTAGTCGTGTATGACAGAACTCTTTTCGATCCAGTTGCCATATCTGAAACTTATTAGCTGGTTCAGGTTGCCGACCTACTGGATAATACTACACGAAATTGATAGCCTGATACCACTCTCTCTTCTTCAATAGTCTTCAATAGTGCCAGTTTACTGATGTGCAAAGCAACAAACGTGAGCGCATTTTCATAGTAGCAGACCATATTGGGTCGTCATGTGTCTTATTGGCTGCAGCGCTGTCGCAACTTGATTCGCACGTTGTGCACTGAAGCTGCATATTGTGGCGCCTTTGGGTGAGTATATGTACAAAGTGGAAAATGTACAAGGGATCCCATATTTCATTGTCACGGTACAATAACGTCTTGGATTTTACCCGTTGATCAGTGCGACCAGCCAGCTAAGACTGAAAGATAAATCACTCAAAGCTTGTGTTCTGTAGAGGGGTTGGATGAGAACAAAGTGGCCTTATAGTGCTCTGCGATATTACTGATCAAATACGTGCCGTTTACCATTTTGTATAGACGTAGTACACTACTCATTAAGTTGCTGAAAGTTCTTCGATGGCTCACGACCGGTCTCGCCCTTCTTGGGGCTCAACAGGTGGGCGCAGTCCCCGAGTTTTTGTCAATCGTATGTTCCACTTGAACCCAGATTGGACAGATTCTGATAAATACCTTCATTTTCAGGGTGATCTTAAGAACATAATGAGAGATTCACCTGGATTTCAGATTATGTGCAAATGAATGAATATGTCGATACTCATTTTGCTTTCTAGATGATCCAGCACATAGAATGGCAGGTCTTTTCACTTTATTGTTGGTACCGCAGTAGTCTACATGGACTAGGTTTGAATGAACTCCACTGAAGCGACTGAACTTTTGGGAATTATGAATCGGCGTTAACCTTATCAGAACATTATCAGAACCAACATACGACACTTGATCTTCACCGTCTAATAACTATGTCAGTTTCCGACAACTGCTCTCATTTGCACACTAATTTGGTTTTGTCAAGAGACACAACTGAATCCAGCTAAAACTCTGGTTTATGATGATCCGATTCAGCTTATTGAAATCTAGATTTGTCGTGAAAAGATGAGGAATTTGTGGTGACAGTAGACTGTTGCCAGGTGCAAGTTTGTTCGGTCAGTCCCAACATACAAATTTATAAGATGTGCTTCGATCGGAAAACTGCATATTTTCATCTCTCTCTTCATTCTTTAAATCTATCAACCTCATTCATCTTTTGCAAATCATCAACTGTTCGCTAACTTTATCGACGCAATGAAGCGAAGATTGAGTCACATGCCAACTGATTAGAGAGCAGCATGGTATTAACACTCGCCGTTGTCCTGCACTCCATTACCAATTTTTTTGTCAGTAGCCATCTCCACCGGGTCATGTGCAAGGCAAATCGCGTGCGATATTTCTAATTTGGCGTCCAAAAATACAGGTTCTCAACGCCGTCCTTGTCCCCACACATTCGGTTTTCTAATCGGATTTCACATGACCCTTGCCTGTTTGTGCGTTCGCCTAACGATTTTTGTAATCAGTCAGCTGATTTGTTGCAAACATATGGGGGTTGTAAGTAACCGATGTTGGAATTCTACACTGACAAATAATGGAAAATGAAAAACATAGATTACTCGTAAAATTGCTGGCAGCTCTCTGACAGTCGATGACCAGTCGCTCCCTTCTGGGACCTCATTAGGAAGTACAGTTGCCAAGTTTCGCTCAATCTTATGCTCTAGTTGAACCCTAAATGGCGAACTACACGTATTTAAAAATGAACTTGATGTTACCGGGAGACTGAATTTCAGCTGACTCCCTTGAGGTGTTGTTCCCTCAGGAATATCTATTTCGATATCTCGAATATCCTACCAAATGAAAAATAATTTGGCCTTTATGCAGAATATTCAGTTGAGGGATGTCGCAGACGAGAGGTTCAGTTGGAGCTTAGTTGAATCTTTCGGTAGCATCCTTGAATTCGGCTCTTTGGCTGTCTCCATTTCGTACCTGCTTTACACTAGCGTTGACGACAAATTTGACCTGTCCATAGTTCTAAGGGGGACGTTCAATGACTGTCATCGTACTGACCAAAGCGAAGCAGGTCATGACTAACTGCAGTGGATTGTACGAATGTGAGCTAGGCTTGGTTTGTTGATAATGCGGGCAACCAGTCTACCCCAAGCAAGCCCTTTTATGTTCAGCAGTTTAATTAGTCCTATTTGTGACAGCAGCTGGTCCGCTACAACTCACCGAACCTTCGTGTGAGCTAATGGGTCCGTTCCAACTGCAGTGTGTTAATAGCTATTAGAAACTGAATTTCATATAGTTATTACCAACATAATACGTGTTGTTCACTGCACACAGAGGTCAGGTATACTAGCATGCAATATCCTACAGAATGCTATTGATCTCCCAAGTCCTGATTCCAACAATCTATACTCGTCCGTAAAAGGACATTTGGTATTGAACGCACGCAATCGGCGTGCACAAGTATGTGGGGCAGAGGTCCGCGCCTACCCACAGTACAAACTTCCTGGGGTGATAGTCAATTATTCTGTTTACACACCTACGAGGTACTGATGTGATTGGTCCTGTGCGAATGGAAAGTACAAGACAATATCTGAAAACACAAAAGAGGGAAGAACACTTTAGCGAAAGAGCATAAAAGCGAACGTATAACACTTCACTACTACTTATAACAGTCAATAGAATTCGTTCGCATCCAGTTTTAACTCTCATGTGGTGAAATCCAACCGCTGCTTTGTTTTAAAACCAGAGTATAGTGGGACATCAGCTGAAGGCAGGATAATCGGATATTTTATAAAGCCATCGGGTGGTGTGATTGACAGAAGAATCTAATCGAGATGTCGGTAGCTCTTTCCCAAACTCATCGCGACCAACTGAGTGAGGAACCAGAAATGCGATATTCGTTTGACCTTCCAATCCGGTTTGTAAATTTCATGCTTCAAGC